CCATTCTACAGCATCCAATGGGATTCCATAGCAGCTTTGGAACCTTCTGAGGAATAAGATCACAAAATAATTACTTACAAAGCATTGCCATGGTTGATGACATTATCAACTTTATGTGCTGTAACTTGTAGAACTGGATTTCAGCAGTTGATGCAGATTTAAATATCAGCATTGGAAAAAATATATTGAAGAACCCACTGTGAAAAACTACAAGAGATTCAGTTCAAACAATTTCTGTTAGGAATCCTGCCAAATTCCTTGTTGCCAGGTGTAATGCCCATTTATATTACAAGACAAGTGGCCAAATTCTGTGCGGCAGCAATGGTTATTCGTAATCAAATGTTTGGGTAGGTGATTTTAGATGGATATGTTTTTAATATAACACTGATTGAGGTTTTATTTATATTAAGGATACATGATGTTATTAACTGGAAAGAAGAGTTGTTTTATCATGTTTTATTGGAATTTTATTACCCTGACTGATCTACATTTACTTCGGCATGACTTTGTATTCTTGGTTAATCTTGTTGGAAAAGTGGTCTTTGTCCTACTGAAAATAGGTTGAACTTCAGAGTTAGGAGGTTTCCACAGATTAAACTTTGTCACTTTTGGCCCTTTGCACAGCTGTAACCCAGTGGGACACAGATAGCCTGATAGCAATTATTAATGTACTAGTCCTAAATGTTTATAAAATGAACACTCACACATATATACACACACATGCACACAATTGACATCCTTGAGAAGTGTTCATAAACATTTGCTTGTTCAGAAAAAGTCACTAGTCACTGGAACTGGTTGTTTTGAACATCACGGCCAACAATCTATTGTGCAAGTATTCATGCAGAACTTGAGGTTGAGTGTAGCACCTTAAGAGCGTCGCCTTTTAAGATTTTAAATGTTTGACTGGAATGCCGTCACCTCCACTGGCCTTGTTAGCCATGCTTTCTAAGGCCCACTTGACTTCACTCACCAGGATGTCTGGCTCCATGTCAGCACCCACAGTATCTGGGTTGTCTGGGGCATCCAAATCTTTCTGGTATAATTCCTCTGTGTATTCTTGCCAAATCTTCTTGATGTCTTCTGCTTCTGTTTGGTCCCTCCCATTTTTGTCCTTTATCACGTCAATCTTTGCGAAAAAGGTTCCTTTAATATCTCCAATTTTCTTGAACAGATCTCTGGTTTTTCCCTTTCTATTCTTTTCCTCTATTTCTATGCACTATTCATTTAAGAAGGCCCTCTTGTCTCTCCTTGCTATTCTTTGGAAGTCTGCATTCAATTTTCTGTAACTTTCCCTATCTCCCTTGCATTTTGTTTCCCTTCTCTTTTCTGCTATTTGTTAAGGCCTCATTGGACAGCCACTTTGCTTTCTTCCATTTCTTTTTCTTTGGGATGGTTTTTGTAGCTGCCTCCTGTACAATGTTACGAGCCTCCATCCATAGTTCTTCAGGCACTCTGTCCACCAAATCTAGTTCCCTAAAATCTTGGATTTGGTTTAGATTATACCTGACTAGCCCAGTGATTTTTCCTACTTTCTTCAATTTAAGCTTGAGTTTTGCTATGAGAAGCTGATGATCAGAGCCACAATCAGCTCCAGGTCTTGTTTTTGCTGACTGTATAGAGCTTCTCTATCTTTGGCTGCAGAGAAGATAATCAATTTGGTTTCGGTATTGCCCATCTGGCGATGTCCATGTGTAGAGTTGCCTCTTGTGTTGTTCGAAAATAGTGTTTGTGATGACCAGCTTGTTCTCTTGACAAAATTCTATTAGCCTTTGCCCTGCTTCATTTTGAATTCCAAGGCCAAACCTACCTGTTGTTTCTTTTATCTCTTGACTCCCTGCTTTAGCATTCCATTCCCCTGTAATGACAAGAACATCTTTCTTTGGTGTCACTTCTAGAAGGTGTTGTAAGTCTTCATAGAAATGGTCAATTTCAGCCTCTTCAGCATTGATGGTTGGTGCATAAATGTGGATTTCTGTGATGTTGAAAGGTCTGCCTTGGATTTGTATTGAAATCATTCTATCAATTTTGAGATTGTATCCCAGTACAGCTTTTCCCACTCTTTTTTTGACTATGAGGGATACTCCATTTTTTCTATGGGATTCTTGCCCACAGTAGTAGATATGGTAATAATCTGAATTGAATTCGCCAATTCCTGTCCATTTTAGTTCACTGACACCCAGGATGTCAATGTTTAAAGCCTTCGCGAATACATTCAATGTTTATTCTTGCCATCTCCTGTTTGACCACATCCAGCTTCCCAAGCTTCATAGATCTTACTTTCCAGGTTCCTATGCAGTATTCTTCTTTGCAGCATTGGATTTTCCTTTCACTTCCAGGCGCATCAGCAGCTGAGCATCCTTTCGGCTTTGGTCCAACCACTTCATTAGCTCTGGAGCTACTTGTACTTGTCCTCCACTCTTCCTCAGTAGCATGTTGGATGCCTTCCAACCTGAGGGGCTCATCTTCCAGTGTCGTATCTTTTAGCCTTTTATTTCTGTCTCTGGAGTTTTCTTGGCAAAGATACTGGAGTGGCTTGCGAGTTCCTGCTCCAGGTGGATCGCATTTAGTCAGAACTCTCCACTACGACCTGTCCATCTTGGGTGTCCCTGCACGGCATAGCCCATAGCTTCTCTGAATTACTCAAGCCCCTTCGCCATGACAAGGTAGCAATCCATGAAGGGGAGTAGTAGTCCTATAGTTGGCTTTTAATACAATCATGTTTCATAATCATTTACATTGGTTGTATTATTTCCTTATTATTTTTATTGATTGTCTGGGACTTTTGATATTGCAGAATGTATGAAAGGCATTTGTTAGTAGAGTAGCAGAGAAATTTAATAAATAAAATAAATGGAAATGGAAAATTTCAGCCTTTTTCTATGTGAAGAGCGAGCAACATAATCATGGTAAAATACAGATTTTCCACTACTTTATGGTGAACATAGGTGCCATGTTAAGTTTTAAGGTTGGTGTTGTCTGATTAAACTTTCATTTGTACTGAGTTTCAAGATTAATTGCAGTTTTCAAGAATCTCCCTGCAGTTTTTCTCATTAGAGTCAATGAAGGATTTTGTTTTATGGTTTAGCAATTGAAATGTTTCCTCCCAATCGTATGTAATATGCAGAAAAGAGGAGCATATAAAACAAAAGCTCTTTTTGCTAGCCTGTCCAAAAATAATTAGATTCCATGTCACTGAATGTCTGCTTATGTGTTAGCAGTATTTGTCTGAAGAATTGGTTTTGCCATCTTTGGTGACACATCATTAGACAGTAGGCAGTGCTGCTTTCCATCTCTCACCGGAAATAAAACTTTTCTTCATGGTCTAGCATGATTATTTTTTCAGTAGTTCTTCATTTTGTACAGTGAATTTTGTGTCACTATTGGAAACTACTGAGATAATCAGATAGAATGCCCAACTTAACATCAAATGTAACCTAAAGAAAGTTGAGTCATAAGAGAAACTGTGTTTATGTGTGTCTCTACATGTGAGCTACCCAAAAATACTTTGAAAGGTGAGTTCTGTATACTGTAGACCAGTGGTCCCCAACCTTGGGCCTCCAGATGTTCTTGGACTTAAACTCCCAGAAGCCTTCACCACCACCTCTGCTGGCCAGGATTTCTGGGAGTTGAAGTCCAAGAACATCTGGAAGCCCAAGGTTGGAGACCACTGCTGTAGACTACCCATCGGGTTGTAAGACTGAAATTAGTTTAAAGAAAAGCAAAACAGGAAATAAATAAGCAATTATATAATGGCATTTCTAGGCTGTCCTTAAAGCTGATAATATTCCAGGTTTTTCACCCATTTCAGAATGTTCTCATTGATAGTTTTGTTTAATTTGATGACGTTTTAATTAATTTTTATTTTAAAACACTTATACCCACCCTCGGGTTATAAGACTGAAATTAGTTTAAAGAAAAGCAAAACAGGAAATAAATAAGCAATTATATAATGGCATTTCTAGGCTGTCCTTAAAGCTGATAATATTCCAGGTTTTTCACCCATTTCAGAATGTTCTCATTGATAGTTTTGTTTAATTTGATGACGTTTTAATTAATTTTTATTTTAAAACACTTATACCCACCCTCCTTTCTTGCCCAAGTTGGCTTACTGTCAGATTGAAACATGGAGTTGAAGGGAAAAAAAAACTGCTATTCACCACCGTGCTTGTTTTAAAACAGTGGCACCTGAAGTACTTTGTTTCATGTGGTTGCGTTAACAATGTTGATATGAAGGACATTACATGTTGGGTTAAGTTAGGAGGTGTTTAATCCTGAAGAACAATGAGTCTTGAGGAATATGGAGTGGATTGAGGGACTGGGATGAGGTGGAGGGTAATGCCTCTCCTTTTCAGATCTTTCATTAACTAGAGATCAGACCCAAATAATATTGTTTAAGGAACAGAGCAGTGATGTAGTTGGACAACTTAGAGTATGACAAAACAATATGTTTAGCTAAGATGTGGAATCAGATCCAAATGATATTGTTTAAGGAAGAGAGCAGTGATGTAGTTGGACAAAACAATATGTTTAGCTAAGATGTGGATGCAGTATTGCTCTTGAGGCTTGCTATTTTGTTTATAAATGCAAATTGAAAATCTTCAGATGATTCTGTATAATGGTATATTGAGAAGGTAGTTTTCTGAAAAAGTAAATACTGCAGAATGAGAAGGCATACATATCACAACTTGATGTTTCCATTGTGAGATGATACTTTATCCTCAGTTTTCACCTTTCCTTTCCCTACCCACTTTCATTTTTAATGGAGATCTTTGACTGCTTGTCCTACAGTGACGTCTCCTTTGATACTCCCCATTAGTTTTCAGTAGTTACCTTTTTGCCTGCATGCCAACCTTCAGTTTAATGGCCTTTTTTGTGTGTTCATTTTGTTTTGTTTCCCATCGTGGTTTTGTTTATTTCTTTTTTTGGTTTTTTCTGTTTTCTCTTTAAATCGTCGTGATGTTTGCCCTTCATATTCCCCAATGTTTGCACATGACAAGATGTTGCCATCCCAACATTACCTCCCACTTCACTGACCAGTGCCACTACTGACCATCTAGCACCAGCTACAGCTGGACCCCTGCCTTCAGCTCCTCGAGACGTTGTGGCTTCCCTTGTCTCCACCCGCTTCATCAAGTTGACTTGGAGGACCCCTGCATCGGATCCACATGGCGACAATCTCACCTACTCAGTATTTTACACTAAGGAAGGTGTGAACAGGTAATTTATGGAAATTCCACTAACGTTTGTGAAATTGTAGGAGATAGCAGCCTGAAATATTCAATACACTCATCCAGGTGAAATATGTGTTATAATGAATGATTTGCATTAATTTATTTATTTGATATTCATTATTTCTTCCACATGCTCAGACACCGTATTTTTTCAATAATTTGCAATAGCTCAGTTTGTTTGGAAACTGCACATACCTAATGTTAATAGAGGTTTAAGTACTGTAGTTTTAAAATGCAGTGATTTGGAATATCGGTATGAATTTTCTTTAAGCTGCTAAGCAGCTCCAATTCAAACAGGTATATTTTTAATATCATACACATTGCTGCTTTAAGAAAGGAATGTGTTAATCAAGATAGAAGATACAGAAAGCAAATAATTGGGAAGAATATCTGTCTTAGTTTGTAAAATTAGAGTGGTACCTTTATTGGACCACTAAAAAAAAAAAATCAAACAAATTGCAAGTTTTCATGGAGAAAATTCTACTGCATCAGACTGAACACCACCACTTCATTAATAGCAGAGAAAAATTGTAGATAAGAGTTCCAAAAATACAAAAAAAAAATCATGGCAGATGTCTGTACCAGGTCTGCCCATGTGAGGTGAGTTAAGACTCAGGTTGCAACCATCATCTGGGGATTGTAGTTGCAGACACCATGCTTTGGAATAGATATCTTTATTTTCTTTTTCTTTTTTTACTGCTTGTATGTATTAGACAACAGAATTGCTTATATTCTGTCCTAATAAGCTATTCTTTTCTGGAACATTTTACCTCCCCTTTCCCAAATAGGGAACGTGTTGAAAATACAAGTTATCCAGGAGAAATGCAAGTGACAATTCAAAATCTGATGCCTGAAACAGTGTACATTTTTAGAGTGGTAGCTCATAACAAACGTGGACCTGGGGAGAGCTCAGTGCCACTGAAAGTAGCAACACAACCTGAGGGTATGTATAATATACATTTCTACCTACTCTCTGGCTGCTGCTGATAAAAACATGCTAGCTGTGTTTTGATTAATTTGACATAATATTTGCATATGATTCTGACTTGTACTACTTAACCCTGATTTTTTTCAGATCCTTTTTGCACTAGACTAAGATCAGTTGTTGTTGCTGACATTAAATTAATAGCATTTTTATCTGGCGCTCCAGCCAAAACAAAGATTCTTAAAGCAGCTTAGACTGCAGCTATATGTGTACATAATATGAGATTTGCTGCAGAAGTAAAATGGATGCATTTGAATTTTGTTAAACAGATCACATGACACAAAGGCCAGTGCAAATCAGCTTTTTTGCTTCTAAACAAAGCCCCTGGTCCTGCTACTGGGAGGCTTCTACTTTTTTCAAGCCAGAGCATTCCAAACAGTGTTTTTTCCCCATGTGATCAGTTGTTTCATTTTCCAAAAAGATGGGAGTGTGAGTGTGAGTAGTATTCTTTTGACATACTAATCTGGGCTTGATGTTTCAGATAGCAGGAGAATCCACTCCCACGGTCTTTCTCCTTAGTTACCACAAAGTATTTTTAAATTTTGTAAAAACAAACTACTGTGTTTAGCGCTAGAACACTTCTTTATGGAAAAACAAAAGATAAAAATCAGTATGTGTTGTCACAGTGCCAGCGCTAGAAAGATTCAAAATTATTCTGTCATTGGTCCCAGGCTTATAGTTTAAAGACTCCCCAAGAAAAAGGGATTGAGGTAGCTTTTTCCCCTATTGCCACCCAAATATTGTCTCTTAGTCCTTTCAGGTACGTTGCAGTTTCCCTGCAGCTACTCCTTTTCTGCCCCTTGGTTGGGGTCATTATTGTTTCCCTTGCTGTGAAAATGACAGTTAACAGTAACTTTTTAAAATAAGTTAACTGCATGTAACATGGTTTAAAGTTGGCTTGTTTCAAACAAGAATGTTGTAGGGTTTCAACAAAATAGAAAATTATAGTTAATAGTGACTCTACCAGTCTCCTTACTGGATGTTCTGCAAACAGAGGATAACAGACAAACTGTGGGTCACTATGGATTGTTTCTGTCATTATTAACCATATTCAACTGTGTCATTTGAACCAGTATAATTATGGACATTAAAAAGGTTCAGCTCATTCATGGTTCAACTGTGACTGTATTCAGGGAGAAGCAGATTTGTACCTTCATCATCCAGATTGGGTTCAAGTATACATATTTTTTTTCAGTTTGTTTAGAATTAAATGGTTCCAAAACTTCTTCCATGAGTTAAACATGAGTACATTTATTGAAAATCTTATCATATATCTTGGTTATTTTTCAGTTCAGCTTCCTGGACCAGCTCCCAATATTCGGGCATATGCCAATTCCCCCACATCAATCACTGTCAGTTGGTCAACGCCTTTATCTGGAAATGGTGAAATCCAAAACTACAAACTGTATTATATGGAGAAGGGGACAGACAGTGAACAGGTCTGATCTTTAATATGAGCATAATGTAGCAATGAGGAACTGTAGATGTAATATGCATAGTTTACTGTGACTTACTAGTTCTTTCTGAATCTATCGTTTTGTTGACTATACCAGCACAATAAGAGCTAGACAGATAATACTGTACTTTATCATCTGGCAATGAAGGGGAGCATTGGCATTGTTAAGCATGTTTAGTTCTCAGAAGTATAATTTCTGAAAATAAAGCAACTATTAAAAAGTGTTCAGACATCAGTAAAAATGTATTCATTTTTGTTTACATCAGGTCTATTGATTTGCTAATATACTGCTGCTTGTTGCTTTCGTTATCATTCTGACTAAAGAAGCTGCTGGTTACTTAAAAAAATCCATGGCTATCCAAGACAGTTAACATTATGCCTTCCAGCTGTTTCAACTAAGATTGAGCCTTGGAGGTTTCGTCTTGTTTTCTGTCAGCACTTAATAGCTCACATTGAAAACAGATCTGTTACACTTGATTTCTGTCATCAGTGGATGAAAAGAATAGGAATAGTCATCTGTTCAAGAAAGCTTATTCTAACTTCTGTAATGGATTAGGATCGCACACGCAACTGATGAAGGAAATTTGACCTAACGATAAATAGATATCTTGTCCTTGTGATGTCAGTTTATAGCAAATTATGATTGGCTAGTATCATTCATTGTAAGTAACAGATTGGAAGAGCAAGGTTAGGAGTTGGTCTTAAGGAAGAATTGTGAGAAACTACCAGAGATGGCTACATACGTGATTGGGAGAAAGAAGAGGATATTTCAGGATATATCCAGGGCATTATTTCTATTTCTGATTTCTAGAATATCTTCCTCCTAGGAGAGCATAATCTACCCTACCACCTCAAACGTACTAATCTCGTAAATGTTTGGTAGTTAAGCAAGGTTGGGCCTGGATAGTGCTGGAATGGGAGACCATCAGGAAATATCTCATTTAGAGCTAGGAAAAATCATGCTTGAAACTAGTGCCATTCAGGTTCAGCAATACTGGGCTGGATGGACTTGGTATGACGTGGCTTCTCCATTTCTGCAGTTACAAAAACGAACAGAAATAGTGTTTTCTAAGACTACATAATCTATATCTTTTCAAATACAGGATATTGATGTTGCAGGCCTTTCCTATACAATCACTGGTCTTAAAAAGTACACGGAATATAGTTTCCGGGTTGTGGCCTACAATAAACATGGTCCAGGAGTTTCCACACAAGATGTTGTCATTCGAACACTATCAGATGGTGAGTGACTCCCAACAGCAAAAATAATGTAAAGCTTTTCTCATTTAAGTTTTTTCAGGTGGCAAGCATAATTTCTTCATGTGAATCTCCATGATAAACATAAAATTAGAGAGAGGATGAGGCTTTTTGCCTTTTTCTTTTACAATTTTATCTGCTTTGTTTACTGAGGAAAAACATTTTATTATGTTTATGAGTGGCCTGTCTTGGTTAGTCCAAATGTGCCATGTACGGTGATGTTGTACAGCTAGATTCGTAATAAAATGATAGTAGAAAGAGGTAGGAGCCAGCCTGTGTGGCCTTGGGAAAGCTGTACAGACCTAGATTGCCTCCAGAAGAAGGGAATGGTAAACCACTTCAGAATACTCTACACTAGAAAGCTATGCAAAGGGCCACTGTAAATCAGAACTGATTTGACAGCATGTAGTTATTATTGAAATCAGGGGGTTGTTGTAGCAATCATATGAGGATTTTGGAAAATCTGGATATGGCAAAATCCAGCTGTGACATACACACACACACACACAGAGAGAGAGAGAGAGAGAGCGATTTCTTCTTCTTCATGGATTGCTTCCTCTGTTCCAAATTATGCAACTTCTGTTCTAGTGGATGTTGTAGGTTGATGATGACAAGATTGGTACGTTAGGGTCAAATCAGTGGTTTCAGCCACTGAGGACAAGGTATCTCATCAGCCACATTCAGATGGCATAAATTTTAATCCCACTAAGTGTTTTGATAGTCCTTGCTGGAGCCAAACCAGCACATATGTCAAAAATGTAATGTTATGAATCTAGCAACTGCTGGACTCTGACTACAATGAAATCCTGGTCAGCAAAGCTAGTGATGAAGGCTTCTGGGAGTTTTACTCCAATAACATCTGGGGATGAAAGATTGGGAACCACTGCTTTAAAAGATACTTCTGAATGGGTTTTGAAGTATTGCTTCCATTTTTTTTCTAGTTCCCAGTGCTGCACCACAGAATCTAACTCTAGAAGTGCAAAACTCCAAGGTAAGATGCTGTCAGTTTGTTTTTGTAGTAATGTTTGAAGGGTAGGAGGATCTAGATCCACCAGCAATTGAGCACCATATTCAGTCCTTCTTACACATCCTGCCTTCAACTGCCTGGTTTTCATAGCATAGATCTTGTATTTGCTCAATCAGCATCCTTAAAAGTGAAGTAGGTGTTAATTAGTGTCTTATATTGTAGCCAGCATGCAGCAGCTTAAGTGTTATGATGCATTAAGATCATTGGAGATGAGCAGTGCTAATGTTTCAAAATATACCACATAGGAATTCTTTATAATAGAAGAGAAGTAAAATTTAGATTTGACATATACTAGAGTTTGCCAGATTTCCATCAGCTGCTCTGTAATTCATAAAGATAGCGATATAAAAACAAAACAACATTCTTGCAAGTTTTAACTATAGAGCATCTTCAAGAAACATCATTTTAGTGCCTCAAATGTTATAGAAGCTTACACCTATTTTATATTACATATAATTGTTTCTTGAACTAATATAATAGAGATTGATGAAGCATGAGAGCTACCATAGTTTAATGTGAAGAACATGATTTATAATGCCATGTAATTTCCCGCAGAGTATCATGATGCATTGGCAGCCCCCTCCTGCAGGAACGCACAATGGGGAAATTACTGGCTATAAGATTCGCTACCGAAAAGTGACTCGCAAAAGTGATGTCACTGAGATGATTGTTGGGGCACAGCTTTCCCAGCTAATTGAAGGTTAGTGAGTTCGTGTTTTTTGTCTAAATGTAGAAGAATTTAACACCAGAGTCCTTATGAATGCTCAAGACTCTTTAATAAATTTCATTGCTTCATAGTAAAGATGAGGGGAAAGGTTATCTCCTGAGGTGCAGTAAAGTATAATTTGTTCAGCCCTGCTTGTTTTGACTGTATTATTTTTTCAGCAGTAAAGGAAACATAATGTATGGCCATTTAAATAAATATTCTAAGGAACCATTAATGTCAGGAAGTATAGAAAAGAGCACATCTGACTAAATAACATGAGTGTTCCATGAGTAAAACTTAACCAGGTATTTTCTGGACAGTTTAAATTATTTTGATGAACTCTTTCCCACAACCTGCTTTGGGGACTCTTGAGCAATGGTGGGAAAGGATGTGTGCATGAGAGAGACTATTTGCTAAATTTCCTGCTTTCAATGACTTAAGCTGTCACAACATGAGAAATCTTAGAAGAGGAATTTTGAAGCCCCACAAGATTCCTCACCTCTAGTGTGTGAGAGACAAGAAGACAAGATGGCTCTTTTGCTATCAAGTTTTTGTTTTGTTTTTGCAATGCATGCAGAATGCCTCTTGGACAGTCTGTGTGAAACTAGTGTCCTCTCCTTATAAGCAGCAAGGGACACTGCACCCCACAAGCACAGATGGCCTACATGATTTATTTGTAATGCAGAGGATCTGTCTGATACCTCAGATTTTTAAAAGCCCATGGAACAATGCAACAGTTTAGATGTTTGGTGTACATTGTTGCCTCGCTTAACGATGTTAATTCGTTCCAGCGAAATCGCTGTAGAGCGAACACGTAGTAAAGCGAAATTAAAAAACCCATTGAAACGCATTGAAAACCGTTCAGTGCGTTCCAGTGGACTAAAAACTCACCGTCCAGCGAGGATCCTCCATACGGTGGCCATTTTTGGTGCCTGTATAGCGAGGAATCCATCCCTAAGCACAGTGGGGAGCCATTTTAAGCACCCGGTGGCCATTTTGAAAACCCGACAATCAGCTGTTTTGATCATCGTAATGCGAAGAATCGGTTCCCGAAGCAGGGAACCGATCTTCGCAAAGTGAAAAAACCCCTATTTAGAACATCGTTTTGCGATCGCAATTCCGATCGCAAAAACATTGTCATGAAGTGGATTCATCGTAATGCGGGGTAATCGTTAAGCAGGGCACGACTGTACGTATTACACAATTTGTGGGAGAAGACTGAGTTGATAGCAACTGAAAATACTGAGCCCTTTTGCAGGGCAAGGAGAAAAGAACAACGTTTCCATATCCTCACAGGACAGCATTTTGCGATCGCAATTCCGATCGCAAAAACATTGTCATGAAGTGGATTCATCGTAATGCGGGGTAATCGTTAAGCAGGGCACGACTGTACGTATTACACAATTTGTGGGAGAAGACTGAGTTGATAGCAACTGAAAATACTGAGCCCTTTTGCAGGGCAAGGAGAAAAGAACAACGTTTCCATATCCTCACAGGACAGGGTTTACATCCATAGTAGATAGTGGCCCACCAGCGGACCCGTAGGCCATAGAGCCTTTGCAGCCTCCTGGCCGGGAAGTTTCTTGTCTTAGAAGCAGAACTTAACTCATGTAGGATTCATTCTCTTGATCATGAAAAGAACAGAACTTCATCAGACAAGAATTTCATATACAAAGGATATAATTTTGTTTAAATAAATAGACATTTGATATATTTTTGTGGCTTTGGCTAGGTTTCTCTTTGAAAGAAATGTATTATATTTAAAGAAGATGAATAATCATTTGAAGAGCAAAGTCTTTTTTTTTTTAACAAAGAACTCACTTGGTCCTTCGCTGCTGATTTACAGAGAAGGTCATTGTAATATGCTAATCTTGGCACAGCTTGGCAGACAATGATTTGTGTCAACTGAATCTACTTGAACCTTTCGGCACACATCATTGAGTGCCATTCATAGCTTTGGATTATACTCAAGTAACCACCTGAGAGGTGGAAAGCAAAAGCATGAAACACTTAGCTAACTGGATTTATGTCAGACTTGACCCAAATTATATCCTAGAAATAACAGCTGTGTAGGCTGTTCATTTTAGCCACATATTTAATTTTATATTCACAAGGAATTAACTGTGATAATGGTGGAATTGATAATGTTCTTATTGCAACCAGAAACTTTGCTGACACTGTTCAGATCAATATTTTAATATTGTTCATTTTTATATCAGGTCTGGAACGGGGTACAGAGTATAGCTTTCGGGCGGCTGCCTTAACGGTGAATGGTACGGGGCAATCTACTGATTGGATATCAGCAGAAACCTTTGAAAGTGACCTTGATGGTATGGATAAAAATGTACCTTGAAAGTGTGTGTGGTGTTGGGAATGTGAAGACCTAAAAGGAAGGTGTAATGTAGATTTGCATCCTTTTACCAAAGGTACAGAATTGTTTACATGGGACATCTTTAGATCATAGAATCATGGAACTGTAAAACTGTAAAGGACCATCAAGTCCAGGAAATCCACATCTAAAGTATCCCTGAGAGCTGCCCATCCAACGTCTACTTAAAAATTGCCAATGAAAGAGAGCCTTGCCACCCTCTGAGGCAGTCAAATTCATTGTCAGATGGCTGTCACTGTCAGGGCGTTCTTCCTATATTTAGTTGAAATCTCCTTTCTTGTAATTTGAATCCATTGCTTCTATTCCAGTCCTCTTGAGCTGCCAAAGAAAAAAAGGCCACTATATCTTCCATGTGACAGCCCTTCAGATACCTGAAGAAGGGTGTCATACTACTCAGTCTTCTCTTTTCCAGGCTTAACAAGCCACGTTCTCCCAGTCTTTCTTCAACTGTGGTCTTAAACTGAAGACAGTAATCTAGGTGAGAGCTGACCAGAATAGAATAGAGTGGTACTATTACTTCCCTTGGCCTGGACACAGTGCTTCTATTGATATAGCCTAGTATATTGTTGACATTTTTGTTTGTGATTTACTAAGATCCCTATATCCTTTTCACATGTACTACTGCCAAGTCATTTGTCTCCCATCCTAAATTTGTGCATCGTCCCACCTAAGTGTAGCCCTTTACATTTTTCCCTGTTGAAATTCATTAGTGTTAGCCCAGGTCTCCCATGTGATAAGCTAATTTTGAATTCTGATTCTGCCTTCTGATGTATTAGCAACTGCTCCAAGTTTGGAGTCATCGGCAGATTTAATTATTATCTTCCAAGTTATAATGAAGATAATGAACAACTCTGGGCCTAGGACGTAATTCTGTGGCACCCCACTTGTCACTCCCCTCCAGGATGGGGAGACAAGAAGTAGGATGCATTTGATTAGCTTGCATTCCAAACTTGTGGCCTGAATTGTCTAATTGCAGTAACGGGTGAGGGTTACTGCATCCCACTAAAATTGAGGCAAAATGTAGGCTAGATCACATGTTCTCCATTTACATTGCTATTAATAAGATAGCTAGAGCTGCATAAGGGGAAATGTTATAACAGTGGTTAGCGATGCAATGACCACTGACGTGAAAAACAGTTTAATGTAAGAGAAGGAACTCTGTAGCGGTTGCCTCAGCCATAGGAATATGCTTCACCTCCATCAGAGTCTTTGGTTTGCTCAGGTAGCCAAATCTATGTCTTTACAAAACATCATGATGAAGTAATATGCATATAGCATCAGCAATTGGCTAAATAGTTAACGAAGTTCACATCTTTATGAAAGCTTTTTTTTGCCTTGAAAATGTTAAGTACAATATTTAGTACAGAATTAGTGATTCTTATTTTAGCTGTAATATTTTTTCTCCTTGACCCCAACTGTTAGAGTTAATATATTATCCACTAGCAATAACAGTAATAAAATACTTCACATTGAGCATTTTTGAAGTTAATTGGTTTAAATAGGATTTTCTCTTCTTTGTAGAAACTCGTGTTCCAGATGTTCCAAGTTCCCTACATGTCCGGCCACTTGTAACCAGTATTGTTGTGAGTTGGACTCCACCTGAAAACCAGAACATTGTGGTCAGAGGTTATGCCATAGGCTACGGTGTAGGCAGTCCCCATGCACAGACCATCAAAGTGGATTATAAACAACGATATTATACTATTGAGAATTTGGGTAAGGAACAGTTGTAATAGGAACAAATGTACTTGGTTTTCATATTCTTGATATTTTTAAAGTTAACAGTATAAGAGCAATATTAATCTTTATATCATAAGAGTACTTTCTTTCTGTCAGCTGGTAGAACCCTGCTGTAAAAATACCTGTGTCTTCCATCCATTCTGAAAACTTCATGCTGCTCAAATAAGAGTACTTTCTTTCTGTCAGCTAATATAACCCTGCTGTAAAAATACCTGTGTCTTTCATCCATTCTGAAAACTTCATGCTGCTCAAAAACATTCTGTGTTCATAACCAATGTGAACATAAAATACATTTTTTCCTGCAGTGGAGAAGGGTAGTCTAACATGGGTAAGTCCTCCCCTTTGCTCCAGAGGCAGGACCAGCCTTTCCCTGATAGCCTTTCCCTGTGCACCCTTCCAGTTTCTGCACCACCAAGCTTCAGGGGGCAGGGTTTTTTTTTGAATGAACTCCTCTTTATTGCTTTCTTGGCTTAATTCACCTTTCCCTGAGGGAGATCCATAATGAATACTGACGACAGCCTTGAGCTGTCTTTGGTTCCTCTGAGGATCTGTCCAATTATGGTGGCAGGTGAAGAGGGGCATTCCTTCCAGCTACTGAGGCCAGAGGTGGTGTTACAACCCGTTTTGGTGTTGAGACTACTGTGTTGTTTTTTAGTCATTTAGTCGTGTGCCCATGGACCAGAGCACACCAGGCCCTCCTGTCTTCCACTGCCTCCCGGCGTTGGGTCAAATTCATGTTGGTTGCTTCGATGACACTGTCCAACCATCTCATCCTCTGTCGTCCCCCTCTCCTCTTTCCTTCACACTTTCCTAACATCAAAGTCTTTTCCAAGGAGTCTTCTCTTCTCATGAGATGGCCAACTGCTCAACTTAGCAGTTGAGACTGCTAAGCAGATGCAAATAGCAGCTGAACCAGCTGCTTCCCTGACTGCAGCTCCTGAGTCCCCATGAGTCAGAGAGGTAGAGTCTTGGAGACTGCTGTCCAAGGTCAGCACTTAGCTGGTGAAGCAACCACTGTGTTAAGTGAGAGGAGGTTCCATCCCATTCCAATGTGTTTTTGTTACTGGTGTCAGAGAAAGGGTCCTGATGCTTTCACTATTGAAGTAGGTCATACAGGCTTTCCTCCATCTGACCTAGATCAGAATTTTGAACCTTTCTACTCTAAAGCACCACACTGTATAAATTCCTTGTGTTATCAATAGAAAAGACTGTGGCTCACTCTACCGGGAACATGGGTACATTAACAGCTTTTTGACAACAGTTTGTCTGGTGGAGATTTGTAGGGCCACCACTTGGTCAGCATCAGATACATTTGTTAAACATTACAAGATAGGGTTCTCATTACAATATAGGGCTCTTTGCTTCCATGGAGGCTGCCTTCAGATGACAGATTCTATAGAGAGTTGTGTTCTAAGGGAAGCCTTGAGATATATTATTCCTGCCTGGATATTTGAGTTGGGGTATATCCCACACTAAACTGCCCTCCTCCACTCTAGGAGAAAGGAAATTTGGATGTGCTGTGAAGTGTCCTTTTCTTCAGTGGAAAGAGAGTGGTTTAGGCCCACCCAGAATTCTTACATGGTTTGTTTATAATACAGTAGCACCCCCTTATCAACAGGACAGTATCCACTGATTCACTTATCCATGGTCTGAAAAAAATATTAAAGATATTAAATGAAAAAATCCAGAAAAACTCTTCACATGTAATGCCAGAACTAGCCACTAGAGGGAGCCAGAGACCGTGCTATGAATACATGTTAGGGAAGACTACATAGTATGGTGTCTCACACCCACTAGTGTCCAGTTCTGGTAATGCATATGAAAATATTTTTTTTCTTTTACCATGCTATCTATCTGTCTGTCTGTCTGTCTGTCTGTCTGTCCCTATTATCCACAGTTTTCAGTATCCACAGGGGAGCTTGGAGCCAATCCCCAGTGGCTATGAGGGTCCTACTATAGTTCTTCTTAGCTGCTTTGTTGGCAGTTGTTTTTTTTAATTGCATAGAGCAATTTTTGAGGTAGGTCATACAGGCTTTCCTCATAGAACTGTCCTCTCAGTCAGGGGAAGATTATCTAAATTGATACACAGATTGGTTTCACCTCTGGAACAAATAGGAGGTTTATCCACTCTAGACTACCCTCCTTCCGCTGCAAAAAAAAGAGGACACTTCATGGCAAGGCATTGTTTTTAGTGCTGGTTAGTTTTGGGGTCCAAATTATATGACAAAGCTGTATGTAATGAGAGATGGATTATCAATAAATCTCTGAACTGGCCATTTCTCTGACAGGGAGGGAAAGCAGTTATACCTTCTCACACACCCAAAGCAAGAAAAACCCCACACTTTAAAGCTTATTGGTTCATTTTTCTCAGTTACTATGTATGGCTGAAACTATTAAACCAAGCAAAGGTTTAACAGCTAGATGTTTGTAATGAATTAGTAGCAGTAATTTGAATTCTTTATTTTCTTTAGATCCCAGTTCTCATTATGTCATCACTTTGAAAGCTTATAACAACGTTGGTGAAGGAATCCCACTCTATGAGAGTGCAGTAACCAGGGCCTACACAGGTAAGTCATGTCTGTTTTCAAAACAATCAGCCTTGTTTCTCATGATCCAAGTACTTTTTAATATAGCTTGCAGATTTTTTAAATATACATATTCTTGCATTGTAATTTAAATAAGGTGTTTACATCTGATCCGTATTCCTGAATTTACACTTATTCACATTGCACTTTAATGTTGGCCATAGCATAAAATATATAAAATGATGGCATGTTTTGCTGAAGAACTTCACAGTTTACAGTATCTTTTAATTGTGGGCATGTGCGTAGACATGTGCGTATGTCTTTGAATATCATTGTTTATTGGGGAATATTTGGTAGGTGTGTGATCCAGCACTACTACAGAAACCACCCCAATGGAACACAGCTGCCCTTGTAGCATTCACATTTGCTGTGTAATGCATGCAGTTACTCCTAAATTTCTCTAATCGCTTGGTATATCTAATGAGTGTTCAAATAAAACTGTTTAATCATAAACTGCAGCATGTTAACTTGGGTTTTAAACAGTCACCCAGTAACATTTGTTATATTGTTTCTTGTGGTTACTAATGTCACTTTCTATCATGTAGCATCTTGGGGGAAGAAGTCTCTTTTTTTAAGGCACTTTGTTGCTGAGCTACATTTGAGGTGTTCTTACATTGATGTTTTCTGATTTAATAACAAGTCTGTATGAAAGATTAACTGACCGTGTTGGATGCTAATTCAGTTTTGCTTTTCCAGCATCGTTTTGAAGATGGGCTAAATCAATATTTTAATCTAGCTAATGCTAGTGATCATAATTAGTAAACAATTTCAGATAAGTAATAACATGTTTGAAATTGTAATCTTGTTACTTTTGCAACAATTTGCTGAAGTATTCAACTTTGTATGCTGTTTATGACGTATTTTAAGAAGGAATCAAAATAGTCACTGAAAACGTTTTTGTTATTCTTGTGTTGCCTATTAACTCTGGCTTTTCTCTCTTTTTCTTCATTCCTCACATTTCATTTCATCGTATTACCCTGCATTTCACCCTTTTGTTTTGTATTCATGTATAATGGCCACCTTCTTTCTTTTTATTGTAATACCCTACTTTTTTGCCCATCAATTCCCTAGACACTTCTGAAGTTGATTTATTTGTTGTTAATGCTCCATACACTCCAGTGCCAGATCCCTCCCCCATGATGCCACCTGTGGGAGTTCAGGCTTCTATTCTGAGCCATGACACCATAAGAATCACCTGGGCAGACAATTCTCTGCCGAAAAACCAGAAGGTCTCAGATGCCCGTTACTACACAGTCCGCTGGAAAACCAACATTCCTGCCAACACAAAATACAAGGTAATACATGAAATCAGCAGTGCAGTTTGCATCTTCTTATCAAAACGTATTTGAAAAGAAAAAATCATTTTTGAGTGTGTGTTTCCCTGATCTATCATAGTAGAGTGGGAAAAATGATCTGGAATCTGTGATCTGTCATAATAAAGTGGGAAGAATGATCAGGAATTGAGCCGAAATTCAGAACAGTTCTAGTACCTGCATTTAGAACAATTTAGTATATATTGGGAGAGAGTTAATGAAAATATAAAGATGCAGTGATGCATGAGACCCATCTTCTTCATTCTAGTCCCTTTAAGGTATTTTGAACTTCAGCTATCATCATCCCTAGCCAACCTAGCCAGTGTTTTTAAAAATGCTAAGAGCTGCAGTCTAAAAGATAGGGTGGGAGAAAGTTGCCGTATGTTGTTCTCATCATGAGGGTATTGAATACAGATATTTTCATTTGACTACCCATTGATTTGTTATAGACTGCGAATACAACCACATTAAGTTTTTTAGTGACTGGCTTGAAACCAAACACCTTATATGAATTTTCTGTGATGGTGACTAAAGGCCGAAGATCAAGTACTTGGAGTATGACGGCACACGGAACTACATTTGAACTAGGTACTATTATTGAATCATTTCTAGAAGTGTCCACAGTGACACTTTTCACAGGATGTATCATTATTGCTGGTTACATGCCTATGTATAAATATCGTTCTGGCAGTCACATACTTTGAAGATGTGGGGAATTTTTACAGTTCTTTGAATGAAATAAATTACATATGCAAATAAGTAGATTTGTTATGCAAAATATTTTTTAAACCCTCTATAATATTTCATAAACTTCATCTTAATAGCAGCTGCTAAGAAAAACATTATGGTTAATAATTAATGGAGGAATGTTTAATTATTGAACAAGTAAGATAAGACAAGCTCTGATATGACCCTTGAAGGAGCAATCACAAGTACAAGCTTCTTTCATTTTAATGTGAATTGCAAAAGTAGAGAGGTTTGAGAACAGACAGTTTCAGTAACTGAGAGACCTATATTAGTTTGCATGCTTTCAGATTCATTTCCTTTGCTCCATGTTTTTTAATTTGCATGTTATCTAGGATGATTTACTTTATGGTAACTTTAAAATCTTGTTCCTGTAGTGAGGATAAATATAAATGTGAATGCCTCTAAAGGCAACAAATGTTTAAACATAACAAAAGATATTCTGGCTTCCTAACAGAGCAATTTTGTGGAGTCAATGTAAATTTAAATATACTATGTTTTTTATTTTTGTTTCCAAAATAGAACAAACTCCACAGAACTCATTATTAGATCTTTTGGGTCCACTGTGCATGATGAGATCTGAATCAGCAATTCCAAATTATGTGTCTTTATTGTACCTTCCTGCATACAGCAATAGTATCTAAAACTAAAAAGCAGACCAGCATTTACGAATATACGTCATTTTGTCCAGGGCTGATGGGTTGCCAGGGATGTGCATAGGTCCATCAGCTTTCTTGAGGTTTTGTTAGTATTCAAAGTTTGCAGAGCCTTTCAGCCATTAGTCACAGGCAGTTTGGTGCTGATCAGCACCAACAGATCCACCGTGGTGTGGTACCTAAGCAAACAGGGTGGGACCAGGTTTAAGAAACTTGTAGACCTCATTATTTGCTGGTCATCATTCAAGGATAGATGAATCTCTATGAGATTTACAATACCTTGGACAAGATGGAAAGAAATCGCAGGAATGTTGCTTGCTACTGGCCAGAATGCCTCTTTGTTTGGGTACCAGGAAATGTAATGCTGGTCTACTTTAAGAACACAGAGCTCTAAGAGCTGTACCTTTCCCCTCCACCCTCAAACGCTCTCTATGCCAATAGATACATCTCTCCACGTGATAGATGCAAAAAGAGTTGACTTTTAACATCCAGAGAAAGGCTGTTTTCAGAAATTACTCTTGATGTTTCTCAGATTGTTCTGGAATAGAGAAGGACAAACCATTTCTGTTCAAAAACTGCTCAGTGTGTCATGAAAACATCACCTTAGCTCACCAACTGGCCAAGACAGCTCTGTGTAAAAACCCCAGCAGCCAATAGACAAGGGCTGTAGCCACCTCTGCCATGATTTAAGAAGGATATCCTTACTTGCCTTGTGTCAGGCAGCAGCCTAGTCTCAGCTGTTCACTTTCATCTGACACTATCACCTAGAGACCAGATCTGAGAGGGATGTTTTGTTTGGAAGAAAAGATCTCTCTGCAGTGTTCAGTAGATGCAGGTACCTACCCACCTGCCTCTGCAGCCTTTTAAGGAGGTGAACTCACTGATCTTCCTCCAGTGGAAATGCACAGAGATTATGAAGAATGCAAACAGATTGCTCACCTGTGACTCCTGTTGTTCAAGCGTCCATCTGTACATTCACATGACCCATTATCCTCCTCCCCTCTGGCTAACAGCTGAGCCCTGCCACTATGTTGTCCAAATGTTTGAACTGAGGAAAGTGCGCTGACATGTGTATTATAGTCAGGAGTAGAAGGGCTGCTGCCCAAACTCTCTTCATCTAGAAGGCATTGAAGGGTGACTCTGTGCAGGTGCAGACTCATTAGTAGTCTTGTCCCTATCTTCGAAAAGGGCAAAAAAAGAGGAACCTGGGAACTACAGGCCAGTCAGCCTGACATCAATCCTAGGCAAAATTCTGGAACAAATTTTTAAACAAGCCAAGCATCTAGAAAACAATGCAATAATAACTGGAAGCCAACATGGATTTGTCAAGAACAAATCCTACCAGACTAACCTGATTTCATTTTTTTGATCAGGTCACCTCCCAGACAGACAGAAGGAACGATGTACACATAGTATGTCTTGACTTCAGCAAAGCTTTTGACAGAGTGCCCCATGAGATCCTGATTAGCAAGCTAACTAGGTGTGGGCTGGATAGATGAAGTGTCAGGTGGATACACAATTGGTTACAGACTCGTACTCCAAGGGGGATGATTAATGGCTCCTTCAAGAACTGGGCAGAGGTAACAAGTGGGTTATCCCAAAGCTCTGTCCTGAGCCCGGTGCTCTTCAACATTTTTATTAATGACTTGGATGAGGGAGTGCAGGAATGCGTTTCAGACTTGCAGATGAAGCAAAATTGGGTTGAATAGCTAATACCCTGGAAGACAGAAACAAAATTCAAAATGTATTCACGAAGGCTTTCGCAGCCGGGATCTAATGGTTGTTGTGGGGTTTTCGGGCTCTTTGGCCGTGTTCTAAAGGTTGTTCTTCCTGACGTTTCACCAGTCTCTGTGGCCGGCATCTTCAGAGGATAGCACTCTGTGCTCTGGATTAACAAGGTAACTTAGGGTGGGCTGGATAGATGAAGTGTCTGTCCTCTGAAGATGCCGGCCACAGAGACTGGTGAAACGTTAGGAAGAACCACCTTCAGAACATGGCCAAAGAACCCGAAAAACCCACAACAACCAAAATTCAAAATGATCTGGATAAGCTGGAGCCTTGGGCTGAAAACAACAGAATGAAATTCAACAGGGATAAGTGCACACTACTGCACCTCAGAAAAAAGAAATCAAATGCATAGTTACAAGATGGGGGATACCTGGCTCAGCAATACTATAATTGAGAAGGATCTTGGAATTGTCACAGATCACAAGCTGAGTATGAGCCAATGGTATGAGGTGGCTACAAAAAAAGACAAATTCTATTTTAGGCTGCATTAATAGAAGTACAGTTTCCAAATCCTGCATGGTGCTAATTCCCCTTTATTCAGAACTGGTTAGGCCTCATCTAGAGTATTATGTCTAGCTTTGAAAATCACACTTCAAGAAGGTTGCTGACAAATTGGTTTTGAAAATCACACTTCAAGAAGGATGCTGACAAATTGGAAAAAGTTTAGAGGAGGGCAACAAGGATGATCAGGGGACTGGAAACCAAGCCCTATGAGGAAAGACTGAAAGAACTGGGCATGTTTAGCCTTGAGAAAAGAAGACAGAGGTGTGATGTCATAGCACTTTTCAAATACTTGTTAGGCTGACATAGAGAATAGGGGCAGGATCTGTTCTTGATCATCCTGGAGTGCAGGACACACAACAATGGGCTTAAGTTACACCAAGTCAGATTTTGATTGAACATCAGGAAAAACTTCCTAACCGTTAGAGCAGTAAGACAGTGGAACCAATTACCTTGAGAAATGGTGAGTGTTCCAACACTGGAGGCATTCAAGAGAAATTTAGAGAAGCACCTGGCAGATGTCCTTTGATTTGTATTCCTGCATCAAGCAAGGGGCTGGACTTGATGGCCTTTTAAACCCCTTCCAACTTCACTATTCTATGATTCTACTATGACTGCATAGAAAACTACTCAAGATATGCTACAGATAAATAGCCTATTTTTCTTGTTGGGAGTTGTTAGGCTTGTCTTTTTTCTAGCCGAATGTAATTGTAGCAGAACACACTGGTGCGTATAGGTGATGTCGCCTAATATATGTTTAATGTTAGCATCCTTCTTGCAGTTCCAACTTCACCCCCAAAAGATGTGACAGTAGTGAGTAAAGAAGGAAAGCCCCGAACCATCATCGTCAATTGGCAGCCTCCGTCTGAAGCAAATGGAAAAATTACAGGTGAAGGTTCTTCTGAATATCTTACATGCTTATTTTGCCATTCAGGTTACCTACTGGAGAAGAATAATTGCTAAGGCTTCTGGAGAATACAGTACAAATCCTAAAATTGGTTCTGCCATTTTGATGTTAAAGGAAAAACTCATATTAAATCCTTTTGCTTTGATATAATTGAAGCTTGAACATTCAGTCAGCTTACTGTTACAGTATAAGTAAAAGCATCAAATGTTTGAGTGATCTTTTGGTGCATTAAATCCTTAGAACCAAGTTTAGACCAGGACCTGTTTGAACTTTAAATAGTATTCAGGTAAGATGCTTACACTGACATGTAGACCAAAACAAACTGATGTCAGCTTGTCAAAGGATAAAGGTGCCTGCTTCCTGACTTCATACTTTTCTTTCTTTCTGTGTGCTCCATTGAAGAACGGAAGGACTTTTGCCTACCACAGAGAAAATCATGTGAAGATTGGTGGTATCTTCTGCTGGATGTTATTCTTCCAGTTTTGACTGGAGGAACCCCCCCAAAAACAGAAAGCTGTGTCAAAGTTTGTGACAGGCCTGAAGACAAACTTCTGAAAGAAGCGAGTGCCAGTATTTGAGACCAATAAAAGGGAATGCATCACACAGTGTGTAGTTAAAATATGGAGTGATATGTGAAGAACGGAATGAGCCAGCAATTTGTTTTTTTAAAAAGGGTTAGTTTGGGCAAATGCCTGGAGGATAAGGTCATCGGTGGATACTAGTTGTATGGACTCACCAGCCGCAGAGGCAGTATACCTGTCAGTAGCAGCTGCCAGGGATATGAATGAGAGTATACTGTTGTGTTTATGCTCTCTGTGGCCTTCCCTTAGGCATCTGGTGTAACCTTGCTGTTCAGTTCAGTCCTTAAACTGTCATGCTGCTGTCTTCTGTTAGTTTCTCTTTTTTTAAAAAAAATGGTCTAGCTTTAGTTCTAATTTCCACCTCCCCATTACTGTTTTTACTTCTCTTGTATGGTATTTTCATTGCCTTGGGGCTTATTGCACTAAAGGCCCCATGTTAGGAATGTACACACTGTACCAGCAAGTAGCTGCTAGCAGATAACCCCTTCTGCCTCAGAGAAGGGTGTAAAGTGGACTCTTCCAACTTTTGTTAGAATTCCACTTATCAGGCTCACTGAGGTTGTTTTTCTCAAGTAAGAATGCTCTCAAGGAAGCTCACTCTGAGCCCTTCAGATTCTGTGGCTGCCAGTTTCGGGTTCATTATCTGTTCCCTTTTCGTGTCACCTGACCTGTTGCTTCTCGCTCCACTAATGGGTGCACTGGCCACAAATATGGAACCCTGTTCTTTTCTTTCTGCCCCACACTGACCTTTTGGTCTAACCACTCATGGAATCAGGCCTGACTCCCATTTTCTCTGAACTGCTCCAGGACAGCAGCAACATCCATGGTGGAGAAAGCCAAACCTTTCTAAAGCCAGGTCTCCTTACAGATGATTCCAGTTTGGCAGATTCTCCAGAATCAGCTCCAATAAACTGTAACACCGGATTTATATTCAGCACAGAACCATGTGAAAGGTCTCCCTCTGGTGGATTGTGTTTCTAACAGAAGTCTGTACAAAATTTAAACTGAAACGTGGCCAGAAAGGGAAAGTTAAAAATGCCATTTCTCCTTCTCCTTCATAGTCTTAGTGGATTCACACATATCGATTATCTTTTGTGCCTCCACAGCATGTTCTGGACCTTTTCAGACTGAGCCACTGAGTGTTGGAGTTGCTCCCCTCCACTCTAATGGACATGTACACAGTCGTTCTCTCCATTTCCATAAGATCCTTTTCATCTTCCATCCAGACAATGCTGTTTCAGAATTCCTCAGTCCTCTACACCTCCTGCTATTTGTATATAGTTTTCTTTTTCCCCTTCTCCATTGTCATCATATGGACTAATAAAAGACAAGTTTTGTTAGATAATTGATAGTTCTTGTTTGGATAAACAGCCTTCACCTTTCAGTAATATAAAATTCAGGAAGTCTTGCCAATTTTCAACAAACTTACTCTATCAGTCTCTTGCTGTATTTTATATCTGATGTCAATTTTAATTTATTGCAAACAGCTAGTTTTATTCGTTAGAATAGACAGTTGTTCTCCCCCATCCCCTTTGGAGGATGGCCTCCAGTCTACTTTCTGGCACCAGCCTTGCAATTCAAAAAGTGTTCCTCCTGTGGTGCCAAGATAACCTTAACTGGTCACTCCAACTGCTGCTTTGCTTAGGAGAAAGTCATAATGCACAAACCTGCAAACCTGCTTGGCCTTTACACCGCAAGTCTAGAAAATTGTGACGCTTACATAAGAGCACACCTTTGATTTAAGGTTGCTTTCTCTTTGGACTCATTGGCAAAGCAGCAACCCCTTAAGTCATTTGCTGCTGGAGGTGTCTTTCACCTTCAGTGCAGAGATAGCTACCACAGCACCATCAACAATACAGACTGAAAGACCACCACACCCAATCGACTCCTCTTCTTTGACTACACTGTGTGCTGTGGTTTTGATGCCACTATTTATGTGCTACCTTTGGCATCAACTCTAAGCCCAAACTAAAGAGACCTCCAGCTTCTGCAAAGCTAGAGGGTCAAAAGAGGGACAAGAAACTGAAGGGGAGTCTACCTCCGGTAAAGGTTTCCTCAATGGGGGGAGGGGGTTCCTTCGATAGAGCCCTGAAACACCTCTTCTGGCATCACAGGGTTTGCCACAAAGAAGTATAATTCTGGTCTCCTCCCCATCATTGAAGAAGAGGTTATCTTGCAAGCCTCATCACCCCAGGATGTTCTCGGTATGCAACAAGAGCAGGTCTCTGCCTTGAAGGGCAGGATAATAGAGATGTCTCTGCAGACAATGGGCTGTCAAGTTTGGTCCAGCCACAGAACTATTTGATGACCCATGCTCAGTGTCAGTCTTCATCCTGTTCTCCCTGCTTTCATTGCTACTCCAGATCATGGTCAGAGGAATATTCACCATCCTCCTCTTATTCCTATTATTTGCATACTCTGTATACTTCATGGAACCTGGTGCACTGCTATCCCAACTGCTGTCAATACTCATCACCTTCCTGTGCCTGGGATCACAAATCAGTTGACAAATCTCCCTGTAGCTTCGGGAGGACCCATAGTATCACTCATGATCCCATCAGGACTGGGAGAAATGTAAACGTTTCTTTTCACTTGATAATGGCTTCTCCCATCAATTACCACAAAATTTGTTTGATCACCTGACACAACTTCCTCTCAAGTGGCAGAAGTACTGCTTTATCAACCTCTGCCACATACTATCCTTGATACTGACCAGGACGTCACCAACCTTGATACTGGGACCCATACTGTCAAATCTTCTGACAGGACCACCTAATCACCTTTCAGCTTCATACCTGGGATCCTTCACGTTTTCAACATGGCTGCTGACTTTACTTCTGACCTCGTCAACAGTGTCAACTGTCAGCAGTATCATCCTGACTACCAGCTACCTCAGAATCACTGTTTGTACTTGGTGCCTCAGTTATATTCTTTTTAATGCTAGTTATGTTCTTTTATCAGTTTAAAATGTGACTAAAATATCTTCAGTTAATTAACTTTTGGCATAGTGATATGTTTTTAGCAATCTTGTATTGATTCTCTTTTTTTTGTATCTGAAAAAAAAAGTAAGAAAATCAGAGAGCTTAAACCAACTAGTAATTTATTTTATGAAAAACATCCCTCATGCTTTAATGGAAGATCTTTCTCTCAAGAGCAAAGGGTTTATAATTGTCTTACTCTGGAACATTAAAGAAAAAGAATATACTGCCTGCCACTTTTATTAAACTATACAAATAGCTTTCTTGTGTGAGCTGTATAATTTGTGAGCTGGAGACCTGGATTTAGTCCATTGTCTATTTAATTATATACTGCATTTTCCCCTACATGTAATATGTTCAAAGAATAGATTAGGCACGTGCTCCTGATTCAGAAATTATTCAGAAAATGAAGCAAAGCAGGGATATTTGTCATTTTCCAAACTGATTTGCAGCAAAGTGAAGATGAAGCCCAAAGCAGTGCTTGAACTGAATTTGAGCTTTGTAGAATGCCAAATATTGACGCAGCACTTTGAAGGTTAAAAAGAGCTGATCAAATAAAGAAACACAGAAAATGAAAGTAATACTATACTAGAAGAGCAGGACTTGACAGTTCAATCACCAATGAAAAAAGCCCAAGCTCTCTTGTAAACCCCCTGGTAGGGAATTTCCTTATCCCTGTGATGGCAGCTATTTTGCATTGAAAGGATGTAAGAAAATACAGTGGTGCCTCGCATTACGATGTTAATTTGTTCCAGTGAAATGGCTGTAGAATGAAAACATCGTAAAGCGATTTTAAAAAGCCCATAGAAACACATTAAAACCTGATGAATGCATTCCTATGGGCTTGAAACTCATCGTCCAGCGAAGATTCTCCATAGCACGGCCATTTTCGCTGCCTGTGCAGCGAGCAATCCGTCCCAGAAAACAGCAGGCAGCCGTTTTTTTACCTGGTGGCCATTTTGAAACCGCCAATCAGCTGTGCGAAAATCGTCGTTTTGTGATGATTGGTTAGCGAAGCAGGGAACCGATCATCGCAAAGCGAAAAAAAAACCCATAGGAAACATCCTTTTGCGATCGCAAAAACTTCGTCATTATGCGATTTCGTCGTAAAACGAAGCGCTCGTCTTGCGAGGCACCACTGTACAGAGAGTCTGCTATTCCCATTGCTTTAATTTTCAGGAGGAGTATTTGCTTGCTTGTTTGGTTTGGTTTTAGGCAACTGCGGGTCTCAATCCAATTAACTGAGTTACTTGTGTGTCTGAAGTTTGTGTGGGATTTATGTGTGATAGGTCATGGCAGTGTAAGGAACAGGACATAATCTAAATTGCATGGCTCTTGGTGGAGATGGGGAAGAAGAAAGGAAACTCAGGAGGTTAAGAATTATTTATTTATTGGTGCTTCTGAGTGTCACGTTCCATCCAAGGTTAGATCACTTTATTTTTCTCATGTTTGTATTTTTTTCACTATTCAGACAGATACGTATATGCAAATATTTTAAAATGTTGAGATGCACATCAAATTAGATAGGCTAAAATTGGCTTGAAGGGAATTGGTTATGATTTCTAAAACAAATAATTCAAGTGGAATTGAAGTGGATGGTATTTGAATGCTCCTAGAACAGACAGTTTAAATACAATAGCCAAAATTATGATATGGTACAATATAATGTTGGCACTTCAAGAGTTACATTTCATCAGAAGCAAATGTAAATTGATTAAAAATAATGAGTAGGTCATTTACAATATATAGTGCTAGTTGTAACATCCTTATTAAGCCATTCATCCTACATTTCATATTAAGAGTCCTAACAAGCATACCATCGTATTAAATGTATTACTAGATACTGGAATTTTCACACGTCAGAAGTTTGTTAGTAGTGTTTGTTTGAACTGAGGAAAAGGTAGATCATACATGTCATATCTTTAAAATCTTAAATAATCCTAGAGATTTATGGAATATATTGCATGAATTGCAGAACAGCTCCTTAGCATTTATTAGGAAGTGACCCTGTATACAAGTGAGGAAATAATCATTTTGTATTAGGTGTAATGAACTAGCCAGTTGCTTTCCTGTCTTCATTGAGAAAGAATTATGAATAATTCTTTCTCAATAAATGAGAAAATAACTTGAGAAATTAGAATTTATTTAGTTGTTTCAAGTGTTTAAAGGTCCTTATGTTTAATGATTCAAAAAACTCTTGGAAATTTGTCCTCTTAATTTGCTAACTGTATTCCACTTCCTGTGCAGGGTACATCATTTACTACAGCACAGATGTCAACGCAGAAATACATGATTGGGTTATTGAACCTGTCGTCGGAAATAGACTGACGCACCAGATTCAAGAGTTGACCCTTGACACAGCGTATTATTTCAAAATCCAGGCTCGCAACTCTAAAGGCATGGGCCCAATGTCAGAGGCAGTACAGTTCAGAACACCTAAAGGTAAGTTGATTTCAAAACTGAATGTGTTTCCTGATTGAACGTTTGGGGAAAAGCAACGTAACAGTAAAATTCTTAATTGAGCCCTCTCCTGGAAAGATGAGAAGAGAACTGGGTTCCACTATGAGAAAATCACCCTCCTCCATTTTCAGAAATATCTTGGCGAGGGTGTGTGAAATTTTGTCACCACCCGTGCTCATGTTTCAGGTGATAAGAATAAACAGAGTTAATAAACTCTATGCAACAAAAATAGAAAATGCAAGCAGCAGTTGTTAGGCTGTTTTGTAAGTGGAACTTAACTGTGTTTCTGTGAACCAACTGAGCCATGAACCTGAAAATACAAATATTCAAGTTATTGTCATGAGTGATACATGCATGAATAATTGTGAGTACACAGTTCACTCTAGGAGTCAGTCTTCAGAACAGTTTGTTACCTGAATTTGCCCTACTGAGTGCAAGTAAGTTTGTGAATGCTGCCAAAAGTTTCCATGGAGCAGACCCACTCGGGGAGGGGGAGCTGTCAAACCCCACACACCCGTGAATTAGTAAACTAAAAAACCACACATCTAAGAAGTGGTAAAGTACAGGATTTCTTCATACTTTTGAGTATTTCTTGTTGTGATATGTGAACAAGAACTAAAAAGTAGGAAACAACCCTGTCAGGTAAGCTTTTAGTTTTGTAGGGGTAGCATTCTGTGCAAGTGAATTTTGGCCGCATTTTCAGATTTGGTGATCTTTCTCTTGTTTGTTTCCCTCCATTTGCTTGTCCTGGTAGCTGAAACTTCAGATAAAATGTCTAATGATCAAGGTAAACCAGTGGACATGCTTTCTGTGTCATTCCCCCCCGCCCTCTTTTGTTCATTTTCTAACAGCATTTGCATTATTAAATGCCAAATGTGTGCTTGCATAGACTTTTAAAAATCTGAAAAGCAGGAAATGTTTTTATAATAATAATCTTAGAACTGCAGAGCTGGAAGGGCCCTCGTGGATCATGGAATCCAGCCCCTCTTAAGGAGGCCCAGTGGGGAATCGAACCCCCAGCCTCTGGCTCCTCAGCCAGAGACCTAAGCCACTGAGTTATTGTGCTCAGTGTGTTTTGAATGAAACCTCATTTATTAGGCAGTGCAGGATGAGTGTGTCCATGCTTGGCACAATGTATACAAATACATGTGCAGGGTGGGTGCATTCACATATCTGTAGTTTGAGCAGAGAGCCCACTGTGGAAGCAGATGGTTTTGCTCAGACACACAGTCTACAAAGATTTGATTTCAGAGGAAACCAAGTGGCAGCACACAATATTTTCCTAGTTTGCACAAAGGGTCATTTCACATACTCACCCTGACACACAAGCATTATTTAAAATAAATTGTGTTGTTCATTTATTGATATGTTGTTAAAAATCAGTTAAATCGACCTGTTTACTTTGCTTTAAACAATTAAAAAAATGGACACTTCTGTTTGAGCCATGGATCACCTGAGTCAGTGTTCATTTAACTGTTTGCATTCCAGATATACCAAGTAAGTGGTTCACTTTGCTGAGCTAAAATGGACTACAGTGTCAGATTTGGATACAGATTTGGTCATGCTTAAAACACATCCATTAAAATAATGACTATATCCTATTGACTCCAGTGGATCTGATCTAATTATGACACAATCTAATTTGTATCTAAATCTGAATCTAATGTATTCGCGAAGGCTTTCACGGCCGGGATCTAATGGTTGTTGTGGGTTTTTAGGGCTCTTTGGCAACCTTCATAACATGGCCAAAGAGCCTGAAAAACCCACAACAACCATTAAATCTGAATCTGTTTCAGGATATACTTGTAAATGTCCCAACATGTGTTAGGTTGTTTCCAGTAATACTCAAGGACAACACATGTAGCTTTTCTACATGTACCTGTATAGCGGATAGCATTTTCATTCTGCAGGATTTTCTGTCCTTGTGGTTTTATATATAAATCTGGTTTGCTTGTAAACTTATGTTGTAATTGCGTTCTGGTCAAAGAGAGGTAAAACGTACAGAACATAGTTGTAAAGCCTAAAGGGGCTTAGCTTGTCTTTAGATTCACTGATGAAGTTCAATTGTGTGTTGATAGGTTTAATATCAATAAATATGGCATCTGAAAGTCATTATTTGCATGCAGGCATTTTACAGTTGCTGTCACTCATTCTACTTTTAAGCAGCTTGCACTAATGGGGCGGTATACAAATCAAAAGAAATAAGTAAAAATAAATTGATTGTCTATTGTAATAGCAAAACAATTGATTGTCTATTGTAAAAGCTATACTATTATACTGTTCCAGCTCCAGAGACTGTTCTGAGTGCTTTAAAATGGGTTCAAATGAATGTTTCAGAAATGGGTTGCTCATTATGCTCTCTCACCGTAAAGGTTTGATGGGTGACTATATATATTTTCACAGGCAAAATGGTAGTACTACATTATATCAAGAAACAGATGGGTGGCCATTCAAGTATTCTTCTCAGTTGGGCTTTGGATCTTTGAAACTACTGTCTTCACAACAGAATGCATCATAGAGCTATTTATCTGGCAGGTGCAGATTATATAAAACAGATATGCTCAATTATGCACCACTAGCACCCACAAATGGTTGTTAGTATGGCCTTGATAGCCATGGTTTACAGCAGTGGTCCCCAACCTTTTCCCAACCGCGGACCGGTCCTGGATAGGTTGTGGACCGCTGCCGGGTCATAGACCAAGGATTGGGGACCTCTGGTTTACGGCAGTTCTGTTAATGGTTCACTGGGAATATATCAAGTTCCCATTGTGTCTGGATTTGACCTCACTGGAAGATCAAAGGATTTATCATCCAGAACGGGCTGGCTGTATTACCAACGCCATTGTTTAGCAGGGGACTGGAACATGTCTGGCAGCGAGCCTGTTGGGAGGACTGAGGACTGTCACTGGGTATAACCGGGGGGTAGGGGGGTTGTGTGTGAGTGTGGAGTGCTTTTTAAAAAAAACTTTTCTCCTAAAGTCTCAAATTTTTAACTTGTTAAATTGA